TAGCAATGCAGACAAAGAGGATGGAGACAGACATGTTATGTGGAGTAATGTCCAAGCTGAAGCAGGTGCAAAAATCAGAAAATGACGTGGCAATTCCCACTAAATAAGCTTTTTGTACCCTGCGTCACGGCACATGTGTAGCAGTGCAGACAAAGAGGATGGAGACAGACATGCTATGTGGAGTAATGACCAAGCTGAAGCAGGTGCAAAAATCAGCAAATGACGTGGCAATTCCCACTAAATAAGCTTTTCGTACCCTGCAGCACGGCACATGTGTAGCAGTGCAGACAAATAGGATGGAGACAGACATGTATTTGGAGTAACTGACCAAGCTGAAGCAGGCTTGCAGAAGTCAGCAAATGACTTCGCCATTCCCCAACTAAATAAGCTTTTTCGTACCCTGCGTCACGCACATGTGTAGCCGTGCGACAAAGAGATGGAGACAGAGCATGTTATGGGGAGTAAATGTCCAGCTGAAGCAGGTGGGCAAAAATCAGCAAATGACGTGGCCCATTCCCCAGCCTGCCCCTTCCCCGCCACTCCCCGCACTAAATAAGCTTTTCGTACCCTTCAGGAGGAACAAAGTTTATGCTTCTTGAAAGCTTTACAAGACATCCATGTCGGTCAACCGCGGATCGCATTTTCAAGTCCGTTTTGTGTGGCAGGTGTGGGACGGTCAATTATCACCCTCTTGTAAATATATAAGATTTTAAAGCTTTTGGAGGGTGGAAATGCGACCGGGGTACGACAAAGCTCCATGCTAGGATTCTACGGGGAAAGGGTGTGCAGAAGAAGAAGCCAAACATGTTCACTGTGGGAAGCTCAACAAGCGCAACTTTTGTCCTACCAGTGCGTCACGGCACATTAGTAGCAGTGCAGACAAAGAGGATGGAGACAGACATGTTATGTGGAGTAATGTCCAAGCTGAAGCAGGTGCAAAAATCAGCAAATGACGTGGCAATTCCCACTAAGTAAGCTTTTTGTACCCTGCGTCACGGCACATGTGTAGCAGTGCAGACAAAGAGGATGGAGACAGACATGCTATGTGGAGTAATGACCAAGCTGAAGCAGGTGCAAAAATCAGCAAATGACGTGGCAATTCCCACTAAATAAGCTTTTGGTACCCTGCGTCGCAGCACATGTGTAGCAGTGCAGACAAAGAGGATGGAGACAGACATGTTATGTGGAGTAATGACCAAGCTGAAGCAGGTGCAGAAGTCAGCAAATGACGTGGCAATTCCCACTAAATATGCTTTTCGTACCCTGCGTCACGGCACATGTGTAGCAGTGCAGACAAAGAGGATGGAGACAGACATGTTATGTGGAGTAATGTCCAAGCTGAAGCAGGTGCAAAAATCAGCAAATGACGTGGCAATTCCCACTAAATAAGCTTTTCGTACCCTCGTCACGGCACATGTGTAGCAGTGCAGACAAAGAGGATGGAGACAGACATGTTATGTGGAGTAATGTCCAAGCTGAAGCAGGTGCAAAAATCAGCAAATGACGTGGCAATTCCCACTAAATAAGCTTTTTGTACCCTGCGTCACGGCACATGTGTAGCAGTGCAGACAAAGAGGATGGAGACAGACATGTTATGTGGAGTAATGACCAAGCTGAAGCAGGTGCAAAAATCAGCAAATGACTTGGCAATTCCCACTAAATAAGCTTTTTGTACCCTGCGTCGCAGCACATGTGTAGCAGTGCAGACAAAGAGGATGGAGACAGACATGCTATGTGGAGTAATGACCAAGCTGAAGCAGGTGCAAAAATCAGCAAATGACGTGGCAATTCCCACTAAATAAGCTTTTCGTACCCTTCAGGAGGAACAAAGTTTATGCTTCTTGAAAGCTTTACAAGACATCCATGTCGGTCAACCGCGGATCGCATTTTCAAGTCCGTTTTGTGTGGCAGGTGTGGGACGGTCAATTATCACCCTCTTTTAAATATATAAGATTTTAAAGCTTTTGGAGGGTGGAAATGCGACCGGGGTACGACAAAGCTCCATGCTAGGATTCTACGGGGAAAGGGTGTGCAGAAGAAGAAGCCAAACATGTTCACTGTGGGAAGCTCAACAAGCGCACTTTTGTCCTACCAGTGCGTCACGGCACATGTGTAGCAGTGCAGACAAAGAGGATGGAGACAGACATGTTATGTGGAGTAATGTCCAAGCTGAAGCAGGTGCAAAAATCAGCAAATGACGTGGCAATTCCCACTAAATAAGCTTTTTGTACCCTGCGTCACGGCACATGTGTAGCAGTGCAGACAAAGAGGATGGAGACAGACATGCTATGTGGAGTAATGACCAAGCTGAAGCAGGTGCAAAAATCAGCAAATGACGTGGCAATTCCCACTAAATAAGCTTTTTGTACCCTGCGTCGCAGCACATGTGTAGCAGTGCAGACAAAGAGGATGGAGACAGACATGTTATGTGGAGTAATGACCAAGCTGAAGCAGGTGCAGAAGTCAGCAAATGACGTGGCAATTCCCACTAAATAAGCTTTTCGTACCCTTCAGGAGGAACAAAGTTTATGCTTCTTGAAAGCTTTACAAGACATCCATGTCGGTCAACCGCGGATCGCATTTTCAAGTCCGTTTTGTGTGGCAGGTGTGGGACGGTCAATTATCACCCTCTTTTAAATATATAAGATTTTAAAGCTTTTGGAGGGTGGAAATGCGACCGGGGTACGACAAAGCTCCATGCTAGGATTCTACGGGGAAAGGGTGTGCAGAAGAAGAAGCCAAACATGTTCACTGTGGGAAGCTCAACAAGCGCAACTTTTGTCCTACCAGTGTATACATGTAGAAACCCACATATCTTGTATACTAAAGCATAATGTCAATCAAATTAACCTGTCCTTCATGCCATCAACCGCACCTGGAGTCCGGCAGAGACAAAGGCTGCCTCTATGGTGCCGCGTGGGAGAGGGTTCGCCTCCTGAGACAGGCTGGGAGAGGGTAGCGAGAACGGAACAGTTTTGGACGGAACGGGGGTAATCACCAACAAAATGCATAGACGTGTATAACTATATAACTGTATATACACACTACATATTACATATATGTATATATATATATATGTTTTTCTTTTCTTTCTTTCTTCCTTTCTTTCCATGAGCTATGAAGTCAACGACTATTCTCTGCAATTGATTGTCTGTAATTATCAGTCTCTATGTACAGATAGATGTCCTCGTTGTTTCAAAAAGGAAATGTTTTCCCACAATTTGCTGAAGACCTGAAGAGAAAATTCACAGGAAACCTAACAAGATCAGGGGTAAAGACCCGACGTTGGCCTTTGAAACCGGTCCGTTGAGGGTTTCTCGGCTTCGGGTTGTAAAAGTGCTTTGGCAGAAGCTTTTTTGTCGAGTGTCGACCTTGGTCCATTGGTTTCACTTGCCGCTTGCCAGGCTTTGTTCAACGAGCTGCAGGCAATGGGCTGCGATTTGCCACGGGCTGGGGCTGGGGGTTTTCCGAATCACCCCTGATGACTCGACCCAACTGACCGCCTTGACCTTGCCAGCCTTGCCAGTTCGACATGCCGTCCAAGGACATCGCAACGAGATGCTGGTGTCATGTTCGGAGATTTTTTCACTGGTAAAGTCAATAATGATAAATCATCCCCGAAATCACCAGTGGTTCTTTAAATCATCCCCAACAGAAAACCATTATTGTAAAATCGTGTTGGTTTTTTTTAAACCATCCCCAAATGGTAATTGTTTATGGGCACCACGTGAATTCCACATCAAGAAACATTACACCAAGTAAGCACCAACTCGGTGGGTTTCAACAATCACAAAACTCTTGGTCTCCCACGGGTAGAATTGGTAACAAAAAGGCTTTAGTAAATTGGGAGTACCCTCTGGTAATTTAACATAGCTATTGTAAATGACCATTTATAGTGGATTTTCCCATTAAAAATGGTGATTTTCCATAGTTATGTTAGTGTACCAGAGGTAGATAACAATTTCACAAAATTGAACCATATCTCGATGATATGCCGACCACAGTAGGTTAATCTCTCAATAATTTCAATAACATATCCCATTTCCCATGTATTGATTAAATCCCATGGTTTATCATCCCATTTATATAGTAAATATAGTAATTTGTTTAGCCAATTCACCACCATTTATATAGGATGATTTTCCCACCAAAAACCATATGGAATCGCGCGCCACTCATCATGTTCCCGAAAAAAATGCCAAACAAAGTTTTTTTTAAATATCTTGGCATATCACTATCATGTTATATCCCATTGAATACCCACTTTGTTGCTTGAAGTCGTATCATAGCAGCCATCATATTCTTTGAATTTGTTGATCAACAAATTTCTTGGTTGCATTTCATTAATCCATGGTCCATGATATCATGATACGGCCCAAATCCACTAGTTCATCATCAATATCCCTATTTTAAATGGCCATTGGTTGGGTGTACTCGGAAAAAACCATGTTCAGGTTGGAATCTATGCCCATAAATATAGCATCATATTCCCAGGTCCCATATATTTAATTCTGATGGCCCACAAGATCCAAATCCTTGGAATCCCGTATATCATGGAACATGTTAATTAATGGAAATCAATGAAATATCTATAGAATCTATAACTATATATATAATATACATACATATATATATATATATATTGTTAATTCTTTGTTTCCAATCCAGTCTTCATGCATCTCAGGGATCTTGCGGCCGCAACTTTCATTTGCCGGCCTTCATTTGCGCCGGGGCTCATCAGGCGGTGGGAGGGAGTGGCAATCTTGAGCAGGAGAAAATCGCAGGCACGGCATTCTGGTGAACCAGGGGTTCAGTAATAGGGATAGGATATCCCCCAAAAGGTTTCGCATTGGTAGCGGAGCACTAAGCTGCCGCAGGGGTTAAACAAAAAGGTTCTAGAGCAGGGCTCTTAACAGTTTTGCATTTCTGGTTAATTAAAGGGGTGGTCTAGGTCACAACAGGAGCAGTAAAGACAAAACTCTGGGGCGCAAACTTGAGCCATGTCCCAGGGAGGTGAAGCTAGCTCCCCTGTGGAAGCAGCTGGAAACCTGCCTGCGAGCCAGTTGCCGTGGCAGCAGATTCCAGTCTTTGATGCCCAGACTACGGACCTTCAAGTCTATGCACGGAAGCTCCAGTTCCTGAAGGAGATCTGGCCAACAGAGCATTTAGCTCAACTCGCTCCTCGAGCGGCCTTGCAAGTGCAAGGGGTCGCATTTCAGAAGGTGGCCCGCTTGGATGCGGCCAAACTGAGAAGCGACAATGGAGTCCAGTACCTGGTAGAGGCGCTTGGGGGACAATGGGGAAAACTAGCAACCGAGGAGAAGTTATCCCTGTTTGAGAAGGCGCTCTACCAGACCTCACAGAAGAGTGATGAATCAAATGATTCATACTTAGCCAGACATGACCTGGCTTTTGAAGACCTTGTTAGCAAAGGAGTGACGTTGGAAGAAGTGAGGGCCTATGTCCTGATCAGACAGTCACAACTACCAGCAGAAGATAGGAAAAGAATCGTGGTGGAGACCGGGGGCGACTTGACCTACACTCAAGCCAGAAAGTCATTGAGGCTTCTGGGATCCAGGTTCTTTCAAGATCTTCAGGGAGGATCCAGAAACAATCGATACAAGACTTATGACACCAATGTGATGGATTCACCAGATGAAACCACTTTGATGGCTGCTGATTGGGAACTTTATGATGAGGAACAAGTGTTCCAGGCGATGTACGAAGCCGGAGACGAAGATGCCGCCTTCGTAGCCGACTTCGAGGAGAGCATCGTGGACACCGTGCAGGAGTCCTCAGAATTGGCATCATGCTACCACACCTACCTGGAAGCCCGCACCAGGCTTCGAGAACGTGCCAAGTTTCGAGGCTTCTGGGGAGTGACAACGCCGAACAAGGGCAAGGGCAAGAAATCCAAGGGCTATGGTGGAAAGCCAGGGGTGTTCAACAAGGGCAAGTCCTTGGCGGAGAAGATCGCTACATCGTCATGTCGACGGTGTGGCCAGGTTGGCCATTGGAAAAGAGAATGCCCTCTTGCCCAAGGACAAGGAAAGGGGGAACCAAAAGGGAAAAGTCCATCGGGGGAGACGATCACACTGGCAGAGGCCTTGGTGACCTATCCTCATGACCAAGATGAAGGAGACCACAATGTGAACGAGATGATGATGGAGCTCCCGGAGAATGCCGAGAACATAGGACGGGCAAACGACCATGGACTCGGAAAGGAGGAAATTTACTTTGGAGAACATGAAGAGTCTGCAACACCATCCTCTCAACATCATCATCATCACAACCATGAACCAAGTTTTCAATTTTCCAATTCACCAAAATTTTTCAACTTTCATAATTCGAAATCCAAAATTTCCGACACCAACAGGAATGAATTGTTTAAGAATGCAGTCCAATCTTTGATCACCAAAAATTTTGAATTCCCAACTTCAGTCAAGAAATCGATTCATGCCGGGTTTCAGCAGAAAATGCAAGACCGATTGCATGAATGCTGTAGGAAGCACGGATACCAGCGGAAGTTGGACACGACTGCAGTGACCTCCGAACCGAAACCTCCTGACCAACAGGTTTTTCTCAAACCTGTGGAACCCGCTGTCGAAGTTTTCCTCAATATGGAGGAGAGAGCCGGTGAAGCCGTGATTGACACGGGAGCCAGCCGTTCAGTCATAGGTGAAGACGGAGTCCCGGGTTTGATTAAGAGTTTGGAAGGTAGGATTTGGGGCCCCCTCAAAAAGGTTCCATCAAGTGTCTTTTTCCGTTTCGGCAACAGCGGCACTCTCCAGAGTCAATATGCATTGTGCATTCCGAGACAGCAAAAGGGTTGGATCAGGGTGGAGGTCGTGCCAGGCCAAACACCATTTCTGGTGTCAAACACAGTCCTCAAGGAAATTGGAGTTCTGATTGATCCACGTAATCAAATGCTTCATCTTTTGGACAGTGACAGAAAAATTCCTCTCCGAACCTGTAGGAAGAACCTTTTGTGTGTTGATTTGGTCGATTTATTAGAAGTAGAGACACAGGGAGAACAAAAGGAAGAGATCTATGTTGTGAAGAACTCTGAAGGGGAATCAAAATTTCAAGGGAACAAGAGACAAGGGAAAATCGATTGCACTCCATGTATCCCACCGTCATGTTGCATGATATCAAAACAAGTTGCACACACCATTGTACAGAGACCATCGTATGAGCCAGCACAGCATCAAGAAAATATCCGGGAAAATGCAGCAAGCCAACAGGCTCAAGATCACCATCCTTTGACCAAGGAATCGGAGCGCACTCAGGGCAATGGCACACGAGGCTTATCTCCACGTCGACCTTTCGGGCGACGAGGACCCAGGCCTGAGCCAGGATCAGAAATACATGAGTGTTCCCCACGAAGAGGAATACAAAGTTCCGCCAGGGATCAAAACACTGGAGCAGTGGGGTCAGCAGAAGTTTCCGTCAGGAAAGCAGCAGGGCAAAACGTTCTATCAGGTCTTCAAGGAGGACGATGGGTACCTGATGCAGGTGAAAAACAGAAAGGCAGTGTCGCCATGGATGAGGAGCTTTCAGAACTACCTGAGGGCGATGTGGAAACATCGGTGCCGACATCAGCAGAGACAGAACATCGACCACACCAAGGACCCGAAGATGGCCAAGGCATTGCCCAAAGCAAGGACCTCACGATCCATGGGAACAAGCAGCCAGGGCAAGATCGACGAGACCGAGTGGGAGAAGATTTCAACGACGGAGATGACAACATCTCTCAAGCGCAGCCCAGCTCAGATCGAGAAGGAGGAGAATCAGCCCCGGAGCATGCAGACCGAGCCCAACAAGAACAAGATCGAGATGATTCAAACCCAAATCGCAATTCTCCAACGCGAACTGGCCATCGAGACTCAGCTGCCCGAGGACTAGTCGCGCATAAGGTGGTTGCCCGAGTGAACAAAAATGAGAGTGAGCGTTCCACACTGTCTGCACTAACTGAAGGACAAGTACTGATGATTCATCAAGAAATTTCCAACAAAATGTCACAAATTCAGGACGGTTTGTCCCAAATGAAACAAAGACATCCAGTACTTGGGGCCTCAAAGACCCAAACACATCCCATCAGTCGGCCGGTTGATCTTCTTGAAGTATATTGTGAAGAGGGTTCCCAAATCACCCAACAGATTAATCGTAGTGGGGGAAGGGCACTGCGTTTCACCAAAAAAGATGGGGATCTTTCTACTGCTGAGGGGATCAACAAACTGTGGATGTGGGTAGAGGCTTATGAGCCGGAACACATTTGGGTTGCTCCGGAGTGTAGGTTGTGGGGGTCGTTTTCACGATTTAACATGGGGCGTAGTGAAACCACCAAACAAAGAATTTTGGACCAACGAAGAATCGACATTTGCCATTTGAAATTGTGTAATGACCTTTATAACCACCAAGTGGCCAAGGGAAAACACTTTCATTTGGAACAACCTCGAAAATCGGAAATGACCATTCAACCTCAGCTCCAAGATGCTATGACGGGGACACTTCCAGCATTCTTTGATATGTGTCAGGCAGGAAAGCTCCTTTCCCCAAACCACGAAAAGTTCCTCCAAAAACGGACCCAAGTCCGGACTACCAGTAGGTGCATGCATAAACTGTTGCACAACCAAAATTGTCCGAGGGATCATGAGCATGAACCCATAAAGAGTGTAAGGGATGAGAACCGTAATTGGGTCAAACTGTCAGCGTATGCTGCAGCATATACATCCACTTTTGCCCGAAGGGTTGCTCGAGGAATATATGAGAGCTGTAGAAATCATGAAGTCCCACTGATTCTAGAAGAACTACTGGTAGGAGAGGAATTGGAAACACAAGGGGAAACAAAGAAAAGGCCTCTGGCACAGGAAGTTTTAGAACTGCGGAAGTGTCGTAAGCGCCACGATGGAAAGGGGCCTCCTACACCAGGGGATATTGCCTATGACTTGGAGAAAACGATTGGAGATAGGGAAACCCTGAAAGAGGCCCTCAAAGTTTTGGAGCGGGGAGTACCTAGGGTGGGAAATTCATATTGCTATTTTGGGGACCCCCGAATTGAAAAACTCCAAAGGCTGATCCCTGATGTAGAAATTCGAGTGATCCTGATTTGCAGAGGCACCGAGCGCCATCGCATTCCAAGTCCCGACATTTCAAGGGATGAAATCCCGCTGAGGAAAACCATTTTTGTGCACCGTCAAACAGGGGAAATTGTAGAGATAGGACCCTTTGAGGAATGGACCAAGTTGCCCAAAATCCAACAAACCCGAAAAGCTGGACCCGCCAAGATCTCATTTAGCGTTTTTGGGAGACATAGGAGGGATGAGAGAGTTTTGAATCCTGATGTCGACATGCATGGGATTGAGGGTCATGAAGGAATGTTGGACAGTTCCCAAGGGCTTTTAGATGTTCCAATGGCACCGATCGAAGAATCAGTGCGGTCCGATCAAACATTCCTGCCGGTGATTCCACAGTCTGAGACGATGGAAAAGGGATGGCCCCCAAAGTTGGTCCCAGTTCATGGGCCTGCATTTTTGAAGTTGGATCCGCGGCAGCAATCAGATTTGCGGCGTTTGCACCATAATTTGGGTCACTCGGATCCAGCACGTCTCCATCGACTGTTAGTGAGTCAAGGAGCCGAACAGGATGTAGCAGCAGGGGCCCTGGACATGCAATGTGATGTTTGTCTGGAAACTCAACCAAAACCCAAATTGGCAAACCCTGGAACAATTCATGGGGATATGGATTTTAATGATGTTATTGGGGCTGATGGTGCTTATTGGAAGTCAGGGTTGGGTCATACCTATCACTTCATGCACTTTATCGATGAGAGCACGTTGTTTCATGTTGGACAGTTGAGTGGACGGACAACAGAAGAACAAATTGCAACTTTTGAACAAGCATGGCTTCAATGGGCTGGACCCTGTAAAACCCTCTACTTGGATCCCGCTGGAGAGTATGTGAGTCCAAAATGGAATCAATACCTCCAGAAGGAAAACATCAGAGTAGTCATGGCAGCTGGAGATAGCCACTGGCAAATCGGAAGGGCTGAAATTCATGGCAAAATTGTAAAAGATATGTTGACTCGCATGGACAAGGAAGAGCCCATTCAGAGCGTAGGGGAATTCCAGCGTTGTCTTCGCCAAGTTTTTGCTGCCAAAAATTCCCTTTCGAGGGCCAAGGGCTTCACACCAGAACAGGCATTGCTTGGAAAAGCAAGGAGCCTTCCAGCGTCGTTGACTTCAGATGAGGACAGTGGTGCACATGTTTTGGCTGAAAGTGAAACCCCCGAAGGAGTTTTGTTTAGAAGGAATTTGCTTCGCCGGGAACAAGCTCGAAAGGCTTTCATCCAAGCAGACAACGACAGTGCTTGTCGAAGAGCTCTTCTTCGCCGTAGCCGTCCCGGAACGGTTGAATTCGAGAAAGGGGACTGGGTGCTATACTGGAAGAAAATCCCTGGAAACCCAAGAGGGGCAAAAGGTAGGTGGCATGGGCCTGCCCAAGTGATCACGGTGGAAAATCGGAGGGTAGTATGGGTAAGTCATGGGGGTTATTTGATAAGAGCTAGCCCCCAACATCTGAGATCTGCATCATTAAGGGAGTACCGGGCATTGCCTAGGGGAGATGATGGACTAGTGAGGGATGAAGTGATAGACCCCCGAACTAGGAACTACCATGCACTCACCGATATTCCACCAGCTGATCATGAAACGGAGTATGAACCATCAATAGCACCCTCCAATATTGGCCCCCCGTCTTTCGATCAACCTGAAGGGGAAATATCACCACCAATGAGTATTCAAGAAAATGAAGAAAACCAACCAGAAGAAAGCATAGAGGAAACCACACCACCAAACGGGGATTTTGGAGGCCTAGGAGTTCCGGTCCCGGAAGATGATGAAAGTGATGATGGACTCTATAGTTTTGGGGATGATGTCGAGGGTCCTCCAAATAAACCTGGGGTGTGGGAAATTCAAGTTCATGAGACCTTTGAAGAACCACCTGCGAGTGATGCGGCCAAGAATGAACAAGCCGAGTTTATTCTTCTGGCGACAATGGCCAAAAAGCAGCGCGTAGAAGTCCAGTGGAAAGAACTTGACGAGGAAAGCCGAAAATTGTTTCAAAAGGCAAAAGACAAAGAAGTCAAAGCCTGGATCGACCACGGCACCGTCAAGAAACTGGCGAAAGGATCGTTGCCAGCCAATCGCATCATGCGATGCCGGTGGATTTTAAGTTGGAAACCACCTCTCCCGGATACAGTGGAATACCGTCCCAAAGCAAGGTTGGTAATTTTGGGTTTTGAGGATCCAGACATTTCAGTGGTTCCCAACGATGCTCCAACCTTAAGTAAGGATGGGAAACAACTCATCCTCCAAAAGGTCTCAAGCAATAAGTGGCCTTTACTCAATTTTGATATATCCACTGCTTTCCTCAAGGGAGAAGGAGACGGAAGGCCCTTAGGCATCCACCCTCCGCAGGAAATTTCAACAGCCTTAGGTCTCCAAAATGGGGAACAGTGCGGCCTTGAAGGAGGCGCATATGGACGAATCGATGGACCCTATCTTTGGTACCAGGCCTTTAGACGGACTTTAGAGGATTTGGGTTTCATTGTTTGCCCCCTAGATGGATGCGTCTTCACTTTGGTCACACAGGATTCCAAGGGTCAACCAAAAGTTCGAGGCGTATTGGGGATTCACGTTGACGATGGAATTGGTGGGGGTGATGATTATTTTATGGGGATAATCGAGAAGTTGAGGGGAAAATATTCTTTTGGTGCTTTCAATATTGGGGAGTTTGATTTCTGTGGAATCCGGTATCGTCAGTTTGAGGACGGCAGTATTGAACTTTGCCAAAGGCAATATATTGAGAAGATAGAACCTATCCAGATCCTACGTCAACGACGTAAAGAACCTCAGGCACCTGTCACTGAACAGGAGCGGCAATGCCTGAGGCAACTTTGCGGATCCTTACAGTATGCAGCTGTACAGACCAGACCGGATATCTGCGCAAAGGTAGGGATACTTCAGTCATCAATCCCTCGTGCATGTATAGAAAACCTTCTTGATGCAAACAGAGTTTTGTTGGAAGCCAAAGCCAACCCGGTGACTCTAATGGTCGTCCCAATTCCGGAAGTTCAGGTTGCTTTCTGTGGTTTTTCAGATGCCTCCTTTGAGACCAAGAAGGGTGTTTCGTCCAGACAGGGGACCATTATTTTCACCACCAATGGCATGATGGCCGAGAACCAGCTCTCCGTAATTTGTCCAATCGCCTGGTCAAGTCGGAAAATTCCCAGGGTAGTTAGGAGTACCTTGAGGGCTGAGGCATCGGCCCTTAGCAGCACTTTGGATAGGGTAAGTTGGCTCAGGGTTATGTGGGCATGGATGCTGAATCCAAGCATTGATTGGACGAATCCCTCGGAGATTTTGCAAGGTTCACCACTGGCAACAATCGCCACAGACTGTAAGTCTGTTTTCGATCTCTCAACCAAAACCTCTACACCATCATGTGAAGAGTTTAGGACCACCCTTGAATGTCTACTCATAAGGGAACGTTTGGCTGAGAACTGTAAACTGCGGTGGGTTAGCAGTCAGGCAATGCTTGCAGACTGCCTAACAAAGGCAATGGACAGCATGATGTTGAGGAAGGCACTGAAGCTGGGAAAATATTCCCTTTTCGACGAACTTGACATTCTCAAGCAGCGTGCCGACAAGAGAGAACGATTAAAGTGGCTATCAGCCCAAGAGGCCAAGATCTCCTCTGGGAAGATGCATGAAAGTTGAAAAGAGTTCAAAAATTTTGGATTTTTGACGAGTGTTAATTCTTTGTTTCCAATCCAGTCTTCATGCATCTCAGGGATCTTGCGGCCGCAACTTTCATTTGCCGGCCTTCATTTGCGCCGGGGCTCATCAGGCGGTGGGAGGGAGTGGCAATCTTGAGCAGGAGAAAATCGCAGGCACGGCATTCTGGTGAACCAGGGGTTCAGTAATAGGGATAGGATATCCCCCAAAAGGTTTCGCAATATATATATACATATATATATACATATATATACATATATATACCATTACCGTTCCATGTAAATCTTCCCATGACTTTCCATGACTTTCCTGCTATTAAATTCCACTATATATCTATAATCTATACACACATACTGTTTCTACACATATATATATATGGCAGATATGAATGGAATGTTAATCCAAAGAAAAGTCATTTAATGAAATATAGTAATATATACATATATATATGTATATAGATATATGTAGTATATATATATATAATGTATATATATATAATGTATATATTTATATTGAGAATGTTAATATGACTTTCCCATATGTTCATCCATTAATGGAATCTTCCCATCCCTATCCAGGACACCCCAGTGCTCTACGACTCGGACGTGGAGGGCCTGGCCCGAGAGCTCTTCGAGTCGATGCCCAAGGCGTCAGAGGAGGCGCTGCCTGGGGAGTTCATGGGGAGAATATGGGAAAATCAACCATAAATGGAGGTTTCTAGTTGGGAAAATCATCTAGAAATGGAGGTTTTTGATTGGCAACATCATCTATAAACGGTTTTTTTTAGTGGTGATTTCATCGGAAAGTTGGCTAGACATGGTTTTTTGAATGGTGAATTGATGGGAAGATCATCCATAAATGTATCTCCATCTGACACCTTCTTCCTTCAGCCTTTCGACTTTTGCGATGACCCGCTGCTTCAACCAACTTTCATTGTCCAACCTCGTTTCAATTGGTGACTGCGGAAAAGGAGTAAGATGTGGGGTTCTCTGGCCCCTGAATTATGTATTCTCTGCGGTAGAATCACCAGTGAAGCCATGGAAATCAGATCATCATTTTGTGCCTTCAGCTGGTCGGAGGCACAACTGAGCCTGGACCGTGATTGCAGCCTAAACTTCCTGAGCAACACTACGGTGCGCCTGACATGTGCTGTGGAACCAAGGAGACCAACTAGCCCTCAAGATCACTTGGCTTAGGTTTTCTTGATGAGGGAAGACAAGAACAATTGGGGCTTATCAACCTGTATCAAAATTGGGCCAGCAGTTTTTTTATACCCAAATTCTTGGCGAAAGCGGCATTTCTCTGCTGGTGAACTCTCCATTTTGTGCCGCTGAAATCTCCATTTCCGTTGAAAGGTCAACCTCTCAAAGGAGGAACTTCCCCTTGGAGTGGTTCATGAGGTGCGACCGACATGGGATGTGCCCAGTTTATGGGGATATCATTGGATTTTGCTATGAGTTAATGGTAATATAATCTTCAATATTTGGGGCTTTAATGGGGTTTATGGGGGATATAGTGGGGTTTTAATGCGGTACAAACGATGTAATCATGGGATTAACTGGGATTTAATGCGATCTAAAAGGTGTAATCATGGGATATACATGGATATACTGGGATCTAATAAGATTTCATTGGGTTTGATACCATATTCTTGAAGATTGACCATCTACAATTGAGGTTATTTTGCACTTCCTGAATATTGTGGATGTCCTGATGATGATTATTGGGGATGTTGCAATGATTACCCTCTGGTGAACTAACATAGCAATGGAAAATCACCATGTTTAATGGGAAAATCCACTATTTCTATGGCCATTTTCAATTGCTATGTTAGTTCACCAGAGGGTACAGTAGTATAGACAATCCCCACTTCTATCAGCCACAGTATGGGGACATCTTGGGACCATGGAATGGGTGTGTTTGATATTAGCGGGAGGTGTATATATATATATATACATATATACTGGTATATATATATATATTAGGTAAATTATAACGACCTCACTGCGACCGAGCCCTGGAATCATGGTTTATAAGGGAAATCATCCCCAAATGGCCTGAATTCAGGTTAGTGAAATATTGAAATTTGTCCATATTACACACACACAATATATTGGGGTATGAACATCCATTTAGCAGCTACTTTGGGGTGCGATTTTGCGGCAGGCCTTTCTGCCCCTGGCCGAATGGAGCACGTTGGTGGAGAGGCCGTCGGGTCGATTTCTTTTTTTTGAGGTGAGAATGGCTCAAGATGGTGGATCCCCATAAAAAACTGTATGAACTGGTAAAAAGAAATGGCCAAAATTGATGCACTCAGTGTCAAAATTGGCTTTCTGGGTGGCCTATGATTCTGAAATTGGATCATTTAAGACATTTTAAGACTAAGAATCACCAATTTTCACCTTGGTGGTGCTTGGTATTTTAGTATACCCCAGGCTGATGGTTTCGTCGGTGCTTGTCTCCAAGGCGTCAGGCGCTGGTCAACAAGATCAACAGCTGCTCGGCACAGCACCGGTTCTGGTGGAGCCCCGGTGGATTTTTTGATGGTTGTTTGATGGTTGTTTGATGGTTGTTTGATGTTTGTTTGATGGTTGTTCCTTCCGGAACCCTGTCGGCGCGCACGGGGGAGAGCGCAAAACTGCCTGTGAGGGCGCGTTTATCTTCATTTCGCTCACTGTGGGCAGTGTTTCGTGGTGGTACGTTGAAGTTGTGCCCGTCAGTTAGAAGTTGTGCCCGTCAGTTAGAAGTTGTGCCCGTCAGTTAGAAGTTGTGCCCGCATGACATGTTATTATTTTTGGGGTGGGGAACAGGGGGGGTGGGGGGGGTGGGGGGGGGCACACGCACACACGCGTGATGTTACGTTGTAAGATCTTCTCTTGCACTTGCACACACACGTGATGTTACGTTGTAAGATCTTCTCTTGCACTTGCACACACACGTGACGTTACGTTGTAAGATTTTCTCTTGCACTTGCACACACACACACGTGATGTTACGTTGTAAGATCTTCTCTTGCACTTGCACACACACGTGATGTTACCTTGTAAGATCTTCTCTTGCACTTGCACGCACACGTGATGTTACGTTGTAAGATCTTCTCTTGCACTTGCACACACACGTGATGTTACGTTGTAAGATCTTCTCTTGCACTTGCACACATGCGTGATGTTACGTTGTAAGATCTTCTCTTGCACTTGCACACACACGTGATGTTACGTTGTAAGATCTTCTCTGGCACTTGCACACACGCGTGATGTTACGTTGTAAGATCTTCTCTTGCACTTGCACACAGGCGTGATGTTACGTTGTAAGATCTTCTCTTGCACTTGCACACAGGCGTGATGTTACGTTGTAAGATCTTCTCTTCCACATGCACACATTCACGTGCCTGCAGCCACTGCCCGTCACAGCATCGATGCTTGACTTCAGATTGGGACAAAGACTTGTTGCTTTCCAACATAAAAATAATTATACCCAGAAGATTGAAATGTACCACTTCGAACATGTCGGATATGTGTTAGCTTCACTGAGGACGAACTCTCACCGACTATGTCTTTTCGCATGAGCAAGTTGTCCAAAAAAACAACAAAAATGCTAACTCGGAGTGCATCCATGAAGAAGCCAGCTTGCGTGATGAGCCCAAAGAAAACAATTGCCAAAATCGTGGGAGGAGATAATAGCAGCGAAGCAGAGTTTTCGCGGGTCAAGCGATCTCTGAGACGTGTCAACCAAATAGGTCGAATGCAGCCATCCCAGTCTCACATAATTCCTTTGGCGATGCAAAAAATTTTAGATTCTCCCGGATTAGAAACAGTGTTGCAGGCCATGGCTTTCTACCGGCAAGCCAGAATGTCTCAGGTTGGATGCGATCCCAAAAAATTTGGGAAAGTGTCAGATGACAACGCATGGCTGAAGATATGAATGAAAAAGTAAACATGTCGGCGCGCGCCCACAAGGTTCCGAAACGTGGTTGTTTGATGGTTGTTTGATGGTTGTTTGATGGTTGTTTGATGGTTGTTTGATGGTTGTTTGATGGTTGTTTGATGGTTGTTTGATGGTTGTTTGATGGTTGTTTGATGGTTGTTTGATGGTTGTTTGATGGTTGTTTGATGGTTATTTAATGGTTATTTAGTGGTTATTTAATGGTTATTTAATGGTTATTTAATGTTATTTAATGGTTATTTAATGTTATTTAATGTTATTTAATGGTTATTTAATGGTTATTTAATGGTTATTTAATGGTTATTTAATGGGTTATTTAATGGTTATTTAATGGTTATTTAATGGTTATTTAATGGTTATTTAATGGTTATTTAATGGTTATTTAATGGTTATTTAATGGTTATTTAATGGTTATTTAATGGTTATTTAATGGTTATTTGATGGTTATTATGGTTATTTAATGGTTAGTTTATTTAATGGTTATTTAATGGTTATTTAATGGTTATTTTAATGGTTATTTAATGGTTATTTAATGGTTATTTAATGGTTATTTAATGTTATTTAATGGTTATTTGGTTATTTAATGGTTATTTAATGGTTATTTAATGGTTATTTGAATGGTTATTTAATGGTTATTTAATGGTTATTTAATGGTTATTTAATGGTTATTTAATGGTTATTTAATGGTTATTTAATGGTTATTTAATGGTTATTTAATGGTTATTTAATGGTTATTTAATGGTTATTTAATGGTTGGTTATTTAATGGTTATGGTTATGGTTATTTGATGGTTATTTAATGGTTATTTAATGGTTATTTAATGGTTATTTAATGGTTATTTAATGGTTATTTAATGGTTATTTAATGGTTATTTAATGGTTATTTAATGGTTATTTAATGGTTATTTAATGGTTATTTAATGGTTATTTAATGGTTATTTAATGGTTATTTAATGGTTATTTAATGGTTATTTAATGGTTATTTGATGGTTATTTGATGGTTATTTGATGGTTATTTAATGGTTATTTAATGGTTATTTAATGGTTATTTAATGGTTATTTAATGGTTATTTAATGGTTATTTAATGGTTATTTAATGGTTATTTAATGGTATTAATTATTTAATGGTTATTTAATGGTTATTTAATGGTGATTTAATGGTTATTTAAATGGTTATTTAATGGTTATTTAAATGGTTATTTAATGGTTATTTAATGGTTATTTAATGGTTATTTAATGGTTATTTAATGGTTATTTAATGGTTATTTAATGGTTATTTAATGGTTATTTAATGGTTATTTAATGGTTATTTAATGGTTATTTAATGGTTATTTAATGGTTATTTAATGTTATTTAATGGTTATTTAATGGTTATTTAATGGTTATTTAATGGTTATTTAATGGTTATTTAATGGTTATTTAATGGTTATTTAATGGTTATTTAATGGTTATTTAATGGTTATTTAATGGTTATTTAATGGTTATTTAATGGTTATTTAATGTTATTTAATGTTATTTAATGTTATTTAATGGTTATTCAATGGGATTTATTGGGATATTAATGGGGATATGATCAATGGGATGGGATATTTTCATGTGGGTAAAACAATGTCATGTTTACCACCCATTTTCCTGGGAATGGTTTATATATACCACCCAACAAATTACTTTGCTTCGAGTGATCCTCACCATGACATTTCAAAACAGCTTGTTGACACCACTTTTGTCTGAAGCTTTTGTCACGGGACTTTTGCCCAACTAACTATCCCAATCATTTGTTTCACCTGGCAGGTCATTGTGCATGTCAGACTGTCAAACAGGATATAAACATGTCAGTGGGCCATGTGAAGTAAACTCCAGAGCTCTCAACAGGTTTGCTTAAACATGACCAAACAGGCCAGTGGACCACCTGAGCCAAACAAACAAACATGCCCAAACATGTCAGCACACCGCCTGTCAAACATGTTTGTACAAACATGACTGAACCAAGCCAGTGGACCACCTGAACCAAAGTCAAAGGCTCGCAAGCTCATGTGTAAACTCGACAAAACCATGCCAGTGTTACTTCACCAGATCGCTGCAGCTGCAACTCTCTATTTCTCCACCAGACCTCTTCAATCAAAACCGATTAGGTCCCACAGGTATAGCAACGTGTCAGGCCTATGCCTCCCCCGGACCTCTTCAGTCAGAACCGATTAGGTCCCACTGGCAGCGCGCTGTGTCAGGATGCTTGCAATTCATCATAGACAGGCCAGGACTGCAGCCGCTCCAGCGTCGAAGCAGCTTTGGATTCCAACTTGTCAGTCAGTTCTCGCAAGTAGGTAGGAGGGCCTTTGCGTAAAAGCTCCTCCACTTGCTCCGTGAACCCCAGCAAGATGAGATTCTTCAGTTTGCGGGCACGCGTCAGCATGACATAGATGGCTAGCCACCAGTCCGCATCCTCTAGGCCACCACCACGACGCAAATCAACCAGCACACCTCCGTCCAAAGTCAAGCCTTGCGCGCTGTAAGCAGTGCGCAGCATGCCATGCAAAAGAGGAAACTGCCAGCGAATCACTTCAATTTTCTCCGTTTCCTCGCCTAGCTTCAAATCAATTTTGAACTCTGCATGCACCAATTCCACAAAGAACAATGTCTTTGCGTCAGTTGTGTGATCGGCCACATTCTGAAACTTTTCTTCCCACGTCTGCAACAGAGCATCTTCCATGGGCGAATTCTTTCCTTTAAGTAATTTCACCCAGATACCTTTGGCCATGTAGTCCGGAAAAAAATGACAGAATCCAGGTTCCCGACGGTCCAGGCGCTTCTGATCTTCATGGTGCAAATCCACTTTCACTACCACTGCCAGTTTGTCTTTAACCAATCCAAGGTGTGGAGCCAAGACATCCGCCAGTCGCACAACCATGTTCTCGTGCACCAGTAGCATGCCTTGCAATTTGCCAGTGCGATGCGGGTTTGGAACAGTGAGCAGCTGATGCGTCAGCTGCTTGTCTATGGCTTTATTTTTTCTGGAATGCCTTTGGTCAGCAGCTTGCAAACAAAATAACGGCACATCCAGGTCTTGCGCATCTCGATTTGCCCGTTCCACCATGCTGCGAGCAATGTTCTCCCAATACATGCCAATGACGTGACCATGCTTGAACAAGTCCGTGGTTAGTTCTTTCTTGCAATTTTCGATTTTGCGAGTGCGCAGCTGAGCCAAGTGACTCTCGGACAAGGGAGCAGCAGGCGTGCACGTGCGCATGGCTGTTGTGATTTCTGGCAGGTGAGCATCCAGAAACCGCTTCGACTTCTTCAAATGAATCACTGTATCAATGGTCATCAATGCCGCCTGGGCAGCATAGTGTTCTGTCTGCACTCTGTGCGGCATTTTGCGGATCAGCTCTTCGAGATTGTCAGCTAAGGAGATCTCGTTGGCAGGCTTGATCTGCAAAAAATCACCTGCAATCAGCAAAATTGGTATGTGTCCCATGAGCTCTCCTGGATGGAAATAGCTGGCTGGATCAAGGCCTTCATCTTGACGGGCGCGCATGCCGCGGTAAAGCATCATGTTTTCCACTGCAGCTGGCACCAAACTGATTTCATCTTGAATGACCAAAATTTTAGGCTGCCAGCGTTGTTTCATCTCTTGCTCTTTTGTCTTCAAGGCCAAATGCTTGTCGCAAGTAATATATCACATACTTGTCTGACATTCTTTCTAACTTTCTTCTGCACATTCTTTGTCCCATATCTTCCTACATGAGGTCCGGCAGGGAAAGATTTGCCAGGTAGAATGCCAGAAAATATGCCAGAAGATATGCCAGATAGATATGCCAGAAGATATTCCAGAAGATATGCCAGATAGAATGCCAGATAGAATGCCAGAAGATGTCAGATAGAATGCCAGAAGATGCCAGATAGAATGCCAGAAGATATGTCAGATAGAATGCCAGAAGATATGCCAGATAGAATGCAGAAGATTTGCCAGATAGAATGCCATATGCCAGAAGATATGCCAGAAGATATGCCCAGAAGATATGTCCAGATAGAATGCCAGAAGATATGAGATAGAATGCAAGATATGTCAGAATATATGCCAGAAGATATGCCAGATAGAATGCCAGATTGAATGCCAGAAGATATGTCAGATAGAATGCCAGAAGATATGCCAGATGCCAGAAGATAGAATGCCATGTATAAATGTCATGCTGGGGATCACACGAAGTAAAGTAATTTCTTCTGCACATTCTTTGTCCCATATCTTCCTACATGAGGTCCGGCAGGGAACACTTGGCATGGATACTCGCGGTTGAGGTCCGGCAGGGAACACTGGGCGTGGATGGTCGCGGTTGAGGTCCGGCAGGGAACACTGGGCGTGGATGGTCGTGGTTGAGGTCCGGCAGGGAACAGTGGGCGTGGATGGTCGTGGTTGAGGTCCGGCAGGGAACACTGGGCGTGGATGGTCGTGGTGGAGGTCCGAGAGAACACTGTGGATCGCGAGTCGCAGTGAGCAGGAGGACGAGGAGGACAACGAGAGGAGGAGGAGGAGGACGAGGAGGAGGAGGACGAGGAGGACCAGGCAACTGACATAAAATCTAACAACCCTCACCTGGCAGGTGGGGAAAAATGGTGATTTTCCTGGGGGATGGCAAACATGGCAGCCAGTTTTAACCACATTATGACATTCTCCGGACACCCTGAAAGCCTGAGATTCCCATCAATCCATCAAGGTCAGGCGAAGGCGAACGCCAAGGCTGACGCCTGAGTTGGGCGCTGCTGAGTTTTCACGGCTGTTGTTCTTGTATCATGATTCAGTTCAATAGCGGCATGCTTGTAAAATAGATAAGACTTGATAAGACTGATAAGTATTTTCCACATTTAATTTTTGTTCCACAGAAAAATTGCACGTGGTCGAGTCTGACCTAAGAGATGGACCGCTTTGCAGCCTTTTGGCTGTAGGGGCCCAGGAACTCCCAGTGCCACAGGGCGGTGCCAAAAACTTCGGCAGCCGCGTGGCCAGTGCTTTTTCGATCACTCGGAACACAGGTAGAGCTGCGATGGGCAAGCGCGTTTTCGTTGAGATTTCTGAGACTGAAACTGGGCGGACGGCAGTGATCCTGGGTGCTGGAGCAAATGAAAGTCGCAACGTTCTGAAGGTCTATGACGAGTCTATGAATCAAAGCAAATGGTAAAGAACTGATGCTTTTTAGGCCCCCCGCCGTGTTTTCTTGTTTATCGCACCGCCCCACTGGTAAATTTTCATGGAACTAGGTGTATGATTTCTTAAACCCCCGATTGTGGAGGTTTAGATAAGTTAATTACAGTATTATCATCAAAACCACCAAATGTAATTATCGTGATAATAACTCTTGGTTCGAACATGGCTACAAATCATTTGTAAGTTATATCATTTGAGACCACCCAAAAGTTTGGTAGATATTGGTAGATAGTATTATATAAAGGTAGTGGAATTACAATTTTACACCATAATTGCAATGTTATCAAATTATTATATACATTGTCAATTAGAGTTTACCAGAGTAGTGGTGAACTATAGGATTTCAATCATGGACCACAACTGTTGGTAGACTAGATCAATGGTTCGCTTGATTTCCGTTTTTTTTTTGACATGGAAAAAGGCACAAAAACGGGCCATCTAACTAGCATCATCTTTGGACCTTTGGCCCCCCCATTTTCGCAGGGTTCCACAGTGACTCACCGCGCAGCCGGGCCGCGGCGCCGCGGCCCAGGAGTGCATCGTCACACCTCGAAAGAAAGCGCCCCGACGCCTGAAGCTGGCACAGTCAGTGCCAAAGGACGACTGGGCGATTTTTGAAAAAGTTTCGGTGAATCTGGGATTAACCCAATTTCAGAATGCTGAAATCGGAAGTTCATGGTTAATGAATGCTAATGATTCATAGTGGTTGTTAAGTGACAACAATGGTTACAGAATGTGGGAACCCCTTGTTGCCATAACTCCCATGACTGGGGATGGTAAACACCGTCACCTGCTGAAGCGACCAAGCAGTTTTTGGGATATCATGGGGATATGCAAATATACGTATATATATATACATGTATAATGGTAGACATAATTTTACCAATGAGCAACAGCCTTTGTTGATTCGCAAAAATCATGGTTTATAGGAATTTGAAGTACAAGATTGCGATCTAGAGTCAACATATGATGGTGGATCGGTTGATTTGCTGGGGTTTTACTAACTGGTTTACTGGGGCTTATAGTAGGGATGCCTTTTTACCAACCAGTATTATTATGGTATAGGGAGTATTTTCCATGGCTCATAATAAGTTGGCCAGGTGGGTACTTGATCATTTTTGTTGGATTCAATGTGCTTCTTTCTGTAAATCCGGATTGAACTGCCTAAACCAACGACGAATGGGATGATTCAGTATGGAATCTACCCTCTGGCAATTTAACATAGCAATTGAAAATGACCATTTATAGTGGATTTACCCATTGAAAATTGTGATTTTCCATAGTTATGTTAGTTTACCAGAGGGTAATCAACAAATATTTGGAGACAGCTGTTTTCTTTTCTCTATGGGAATTCATGGGATATTGGCTTCCCGTGATGGGCATACCATGGTGATATGGGATGTAATACTGTAGTTATTTGATGGGAATTTCGCCATTATTCAGTTCGGGGTGTTAACTATCAAAACTAGTCATGAGATGATGTAATGAGACGTAACGGACATACAATGAGGTGCAACGAAAACACAAGGGTCAATGGCTTGACATTCCAGGTAAGATCAAAAGAAAACCATGAATCCTTACCCAAAATTTACAGGGGATTTTCCGTAAACCAAGTCTGGGCACAACTTGAATTTACTTGACCTCTGCTAATCTTCAACCACCAGGCCTTTCGGCTCGCAATCGCCATTTTTGCCGACAAAAAAAACTAACAATCCTCAAAATCCAATTGTTTTTTTTGCTGATGAATGACATTTTGCTGGATGAATTCTCCATTTTTCCTTCTTGCCAATCTCCCCTTTGCTAAGCGTTTTGCCTCCGGGTTCCCTCCCTTGAGGAGGCAAAGCTCAAGGAGGGCAACCCGCAGGAAGCTCCAAGCCCCACGAAGTCCTTAGGCTCCAAGATCTTGGCTCATACGCCCAGTCGGATGGATGACATTCGGGAGGAGATGATGGCGAAGAAAAAGTTCTGGATGGCGATCTGGAAGGGGAGATTTCGTTGGTTTTATTTTCTAGAGTTTTTTTTTTGATTTTGGATGGTTATACCGTTATACCTCTCTGGCATAGCTATGGAATGTAGGGAAGCCATGCCCGTTTGATCATTTCCGGGAAAGCATGGATTTTCGTAGCCGTGGGAGGCTAGACATGGCAACCTGGGATGAAACCGGTGGGATTCTGTGCAATGACCATCCTTTTTTTGGCGTTGTCTAAAAATAGGGTGCCCCTAAATCCGGTGGTTAATCATCATCTTTTCCTATTGTTTGATGGATATAACATACATACTGTCATACTGTAATATAACATGACATAACATGACATAACATGACATAACAGGGTGTATACATACATATATATATATATACATACACCTTATTTTCAGACACCCCCCATAAGTTTCGAGGTGAACCCATCACATGAATCCCGCAGGAGCAGGAGCGACGTTTCAGGGTGGCCGTTTGCCAAAGTACGGGAGCCATTCTTCGTGCCGTGCTGCCATTCTCTGACCTGCCAAAAGCAGAGATCTACGCCTACCATGCAGTGCTTGGGCGAAGTGGTCGATGTTCGCGACATTTTTGGGGAATTAGAATCCCTTCAAAAACGAACATGAACCACCTGTAAAAAATCATAAAAACATGGTTTAGCAAGGGATTTTGACATCTTTGGGACCATCTAGGGGGATTAAGGGGATGCGATTATAGATGGATTCAGATTAAGACATTCCATAATTGGGATCGGTGGTTCTCCTAAAATGTCGGTCTTCTGGTCTTGGTACACCAATTTTGGATCCGCCACTGGTCAGGATGAAAAAGCTCTCATATCGGCATTGTGCCCTGAAAACTCACATCAAAATGGCTGGTAGTCATCAACTTTGGTACACAATTATGTGCAAGTCATGGGTTTTGACGCATCCCCATATACCGAAACATCTATTCACACATCTATTTTTTTATCCACTCTTCTTGGTCATCGTGTCTCTATTTCTGCCCTGGCGCCTTCAATCTTGCCCCTTTCCCAAATTTGATCCCCTTCTAGCTGCTCTAGCTCTAGTTGATTACTCATTTTTTTCACCCTGGCTACCCTAGTTCTGGTTCAAGGATCAGAATACATACCTGAAGAACAAGAATAACAACCAATCCCCAGATGCCGAGGTGCAACACTATTTCATGTACCGATCCTTCCGCCACACAAACTTCCAAGTTGCCACCCTGACCGCTGCCTCCAAAGCCCTGAAGGCCAGCAAGTGCCTCCCATGGTCATGGGAACCTAAAGGATTGGAATGAAAACCAACTCCTGGTTCCCCAGAAGTTACAGGTAGTGAATGCTAGTTATAGCCCGATCCCATCATGAAATGGGAAGCTGTGAAACGTCGTTGGCCTCCCCCCACCGATGAGGATAGCGGCAGCGCGCTGTCTGAAGATGATTTGATAGAGGCCGGTGAGAAAGATGTGATTCAGTGATCATCAAGAATGTGGTAAACCCAATTTCATAGACCATCCCATGAATTAGCCACGACTGGGGGTCATTTTACCCAATCATATAAAATATAGTAAACCACCTTAGATGGTATCCCATTTATTTGTTGGTTATTCTAAGGTGGTAGCAACCTCTGTTGGGGATGATTTATTGGGTTTACCACCTTAGATGCTGCACCTTAAAAGGGTCACAACTCCCTTTCCAGCCCAGGAGTTGCGAGCACAGCACAGCGGCACAGAGGTGCCCTTTCAGGGTGAAGGTACCAGTGGCAATTCCAACTGCGGAGATTAAGATCAGACCACGCAAGCCAGAGGGAGGACACAAATATGCAGTTGGACCAGGACAATATGCCCACAGAAAGCCCCAAACCCAGTTGTAGGGCTTCGCACATATTGTAGGGCTTCGCACACTGGCGATGCCCCAAGGGTGGTTGTTGTTGTTGCTGCTGTTGTTGTTGTGGTGGTTGTTGTTGTTGTGGTGGTGGTCGTCGTCGTTGTCGTCGTCGTGGTTCAGAAGGTGCATGTTGTGCATTACATAGACCCTGATCCTTCCCGCTCAAGTTTGCGCGCTTGTAAACACACGATTTTACAATGGTTTACATGTGTGTCGCTCCAAAAAGGTGGCAAATAGCACGCAAATCAGAGATCTTAGCTCAAAATGTAGCAAATAGCAAGCAAATGAGAGATTTTTGCTCCAAAATGCAGCAAATAGTTGCAAAATAACAAGGAAAACTGCACCAGATTGAAAACCACAAGCAATTCACCAAACAAAATCTCCAAAAAATATAACCGTAAAATCCTAGTTACATGGTGATAAATGACTTTCCTACCTTTCCATGGGTTACTACAAGGAGGTCGTTAGCTAACTGGGGGGGGAAACTTGAAACCAGCTTGTGGGATCCATGAAGATACTTGGTGATCTAAATATCCATTGGATTAGTAACATTACTTACCATGTATAATCATTATTGTACTATATTAACAAAATTGGCGTACTATCCATGACATTGGTAATTTCTACTGGATCATTTCAATGGGTTTTTCAACCGTGAAAAACCGTTTTGCCGTGGCCAGGCGGGTCTCGAAGTGTACCCTCAAGAAGTTCGTGAGGAGTGGATGAAGCAACCAGCCGGGTGCCCCCACAAAAAATAATGGCTACAGCCTATTGAAAGTGTGGATTTCTCCAATCCAATCATCAATGGTTTGGCTTAAGGGAACATTTGAAACCCATCGTTTTTTCTCCCCCAAATCCACAGGTTTCCTGCAATTCTTCCGGCCAGGAGATGGCGCTGCTGGAGGAACACATGAAATCATGGGACGGCAATACCAGGCTGCCGTTTTTTGTCACTGGAAAACCGGGTCCACTTCCGATTCGGGACATTTTTCCAGGAGCTTTGTTTGGTGGTTCCATGATGTTTCGGATGGGCCCTGGGAAGCACGGCACTTCTTCACTGGTCGGAAAATTCTGATGACTCTGGCAAACTAAACCATCCCATTTATTTTGGGGGGTTCTCCCCGTTCTCCCCATTCTTTTGGTTAAATCATTGACCCACGTTAAACCCATGATCAATTTGGTGTTCAAGTCATGTTTCAGTTATATACCACTTTGTTGGGAAACCATCCCCTTTTTGAGACCCAATGGTTTGACGCCAATCTGTGCACTGCCAGATACGTTGACCTCCTAAGCACCGTGGAAGATGGCATGAATCAACTGCTGCAGGCGCTTTCAAAGGAGGTGCCTGGCTTGGTCATTCACTGATCTGCCAAGACCTATGATTCTCCAATGTGCCAGGGGGATGAAGACTTAGATTTAATGAAGATGTTTTTTTCCCAATCAGAAATCCACCATTCGGCGAATCTCCACGGAATGAAGAGATAAATAATATATATATATATTATACATATTTAAAGGTTCCTTGTGCTAATCCAAGAGGATGAACATTGGTTTGCCGGATCAGCTGCGGACTCCAAAAAAGCTTTTCCTCGCTTTATGGATCATCCTATCCATCCCGGGATGATGCCGCATAGGCCATGAATCATTTTCCCATGGGTCACAAAATATATGATTACCATATGGGGGTTTCCTAAAATGGAGGCACCACTTAAAATGGAGGCACCAGTACTGGAAAATCATCCATCTAAAATGGATGATTTGGGGTAGCCCCATTTTGGGAACCCCTCATATTCTGGAGGAATCCAAGATGATCACATTCACCAGTAAAATATTCAAAACCAGCAGATCATGGATATCTGGATATATTCAATGATAATATAATATATAGTGTATATACATATATATATATACATATACATATATATATATACATATATATACATATATATATATATATTAGTAGTGTGTATATATTTAATGTATATATAATATTATGTATATATGTAGTGTAGATCTGAACTTCTTCTGTCAGAATCCCATCCCCCAACGCACACCCAGGACCTCAAGGCAGTGACCATGCTCGCTTTGAAGGAGGCATTTTTGGTTATTTTCATCGCCCTGTTGATGGCTGGTGAAACATGGGGATTTCATGGGATTTCATGGGATTTAACTAGCAAAGATATATATATATATGGGGATCTAATCGACACATGATAATCATGATGGTTGATGAGTTCTGAAATTTGCGGAGATGTACTATGTTATACCACCGGTTAGAAATTGGGGGTTTATTGGGGATTCTGAACTAATTAGTCCATCATTACGTTTTTTTTTCTACCTATTGATCAATCAACATGGGATGGGATGGCATTTTTCATATCGCTATTTTTGGGGTGAACAGTGGGCTACCGGGATTGAGACTCATTGCTATGTCTTAATGCCACATCTTTTTTCTGACTGGTCTGGTGAGTTTGTTGATTGCCTCTCCCTTCAGTGACTCTGCATATACTATATCATCATATACATTGGTTTGTCTGAAAATACCACCAATTCTAAAGGATGATCAGATTTGTTCGAACTTGACATGATAATTGTAGGTTGTAGCCACATCCCGGAAAAATCCTATGCCCCATTCGCATGAACCACTCCCCAGCGTTTGGTCCCAAATCCAGTATGTGGTTTCATCCTCAAGAACAATCATGGTTTCTGGGGTGTGCTTCATAGTACTTGGGGGTGCATCCCACATAGTAAATGGGTTATACCCCCAGTTATGTATAAATATATATACATATATATATATATATGTATATGGAATATCACATTATATATGGGATTACATGGGTTTATGGATTGTGAACCACTTACTAAGTTGGATGCACATCCCTGCGTAGAGGGACCCGCACCACAGAAAGCGCAAGACTTCGCCGTGAATGCAATGCTTGGACCTGCCTCACTGGTGTTTCGGCTGCTCAGCTGACATTGGGTATGCCGAAATCGGAACCATATCTCCCGCAGTTGAAAGGGACCACTTACAGTTATAGATCTAATTTTAGATACAGGGGTTACCCCCAATATATGTATAATATGTATATATATATATACATATATGTATGTGTATATACATATACTATGTATATATAATTATAAATATATATATATATACACCCCTCTATTTGATGGTAGCCATGCTTTCCGAAAGACCCCGAGGCCCGAGGCGCTGGCAGCTGTTGCAGTTGCCATGGGGGCGTCTGGACCTCGGTGCCATTCGGTGCCTCAGTGGCTGGGGACCACTTGTTTCAACCAACCTGGGGACATGTGAGTAGCACCAGTAAAAACCCATAAAAACCCATAAAACCCCCATGGGGGTCGGGTTTTAAGATGTTTTAAGTGTTTAAAAATCCCGATTTTTAAACATGTTCTTTTTTTGCACCCCCTGCCTGATGTAGGGCTGTCGATGATGTTTCTGCAGAGGTTTTGGTCACTGCACAAGAGAATCAGAATGCGTTTGATTTCTCTTCCCGTTTATCTGGTTGGACATTTCCATGATTTTCTGATTCTTCCATTCCTACCTTGGATGACTCAATCTCCAGAGACTGAATGTCTTGAAATCCATGGCCGGAGGCGGTGGATCTTTAGAGAGTTGCAGGCGCTGTGATGAGAGTTGGATGTCCAAGAGGAGTCACAATCACTAGGGTGTAAAACTTGTGTTTCTTTCCTTTTACATTTACCCTCTGGCTATTTAACATAGCCATGGGAAATGGCCCATTTATAGATGGCTTACCTATTAAACATGGTGATTTTCCATGGCTATGTTAAATAACCAGATGGTAGTCAATCTACCCCCAAAGGTATCTGGGGTGTTGGGAGCAACCCTATTAATTGTATGGATGGGCAAGGATTCATACCCTTGTGGAAAGAAATGGAGGCTAATGCGGCATCCGGTTTCGAAAAGGAAGTCAGAAGGATGGCTTTTGAACTGCTTCGAAGGATCTTCGTCGGACTTGTAGCTTTGAAATGATAGCGTTTGACAACTATTGCCTTACTTCTGCTGAGAGCTGGTGGTCCACATGACTTGATGCACATTGCTTGATAATTCATCATTGCTTGCTACTTGATAATAGTGGTAATTACTGCATCGATCTTGAGACTTTAAAGGAAGTTTTTTTTTTGGGGGGGTTCCATAAATGGTACCCCCAAACGGATGGTTTTTTTCATGGAAAATAGCATAAACATGGATGATTTGGGGGTACCCCTATTTCAGGAAACCTCCATATTACCCAAAAGATTGAGGATCATCACACTCCATTAATGGGAAACCGGTTCTTGATCAACCTGCACGACTTCGGCAGGATGAGATCCTGAAACAGATCCTACAGGAGCGATGAGGGCAGTGGAAATCACGAGCAAATGGCCGGTATCAATGGTTTCTGATATTGGTTCACTTGAATTCATTTTTTTTCTTGGTATGTCCAATATCATGGAATCATGGTCCTATGTCGTCCATGATTTCTGAGTCAAAAGGTGGGGAACGGTGGGTCCTACAGTAGGTTCTATGTTATCAGGCAACAGCTGTCATCACGGTTCTTTACCGACTCGGTATACCCTCTGGTAAACTAACATAGCAATGGAAAATCACCATTTTTAATGGGAAAATCCACTATAAATGGCCATTTTCAATAGCTATGTTAAATTACCAGAGGGTAAATCAAGCTTGTTTAGGACCACAACTGGATGGCTTATGTCTGAACATGATCCATTCCCAGCTTTGGAAGTCAGTTGAACCTTGAGATCGAGGACAAGAGCCCAGAGTTTCAACAAGAGATCAGGCGCTTGGGGGTGGATCTGCTGGAAGTAGGATCTGTGAGAAAATCAGTGAAGATAGCAAACTCATCCCGAGCCTCAAGAAAAAAACTGTTGTTGTTTGGTGTATCTTCATTTTCCTTAGAGATCTCAGTATAGAATCCACCAAAACGATACAACAGTAAAATCCAATGAAAAAAGGTGCCATTTTTTACTTCTGTAGCTTCTGTAGGACCATCCACTAATCAACATAGACCCTGCCAAATAGGCGGTTGGAAGACAATTCTTGCCTCTCAACATTGCCAATCTGGATTTCTACAGGTCAACTCCACATAGTTGCAGGTTAAACTCACAACCAGCAATAATTATCAACAACCATGCATAACCAGTAAGAACCATCACCATTCATCATCAATAACCATCAACAACCATTCATAACCAGTAAGAACCATCATTCATCATCAATAACCATCAACAACCATTCATAACCAGTAAGAACCATCACCATTCATCATCAATAACCATCAACAACCATTCGTTGCCAGCAATTAATAACAATTTACAACATTTCATAACCAGTAACCACAAAAAAAACATCATTCAACCCGAAAAACATGTTGGTCAACCCTGTCACTTCGCGAAGGCAAGCTATGAAGGAGGTCTTGCTGACGCTGAGGTGTGTGCTTGGGTCCGGTGGACCAAACAACACAAACCCTGAAGGCAGAGGAATCTATAGAGAGTCTTGATCAACATTGAAATTTGGGGTGTGGGGTTTTACTTGGTAGATGTCTGTTTGTTTTGTTTTTTCTTTTTCCCATCTACTGTAGTTAGTATATGTAACTATAATATACTGCTACAATTAAATATATTAAATAGACTATTTACTGTGATATACTATAATTGAACTATAACCTCGTTAGTATAACCATAGTTCAATGTAGTGTAACTATATCCTTTATAGTTTAGCCAGTACAAAAAAACTGGCTGGGATCATCCTTTAAGATCCATTTTGAGTAGGAAAGCTCCAAGATAGAAATGGTGAACTTATAAAGGTTTTTAAAGGGAATAGATAGTGATAGGGGGGATATATAGATGTAGCCATATTTATCACTATTTAAGTGGGATTTTATGCATTCTATCTTTTTTTACCTTAATGTTTGTGGCTGCCTGTTCATATAGCTTAGTATACTGTAATAGATCCCATCCCCCTAGAATTACGTATCACCCATTATGGGACCCCAAGATGTATGGGGGTTCCTAGATGGTTGATCAACCATTGACACTGGACATCAACAGTATGAATAAAAGCTAAGTGCTTGGGGTATATGCAATAGTTGTGGCTCTGCATTTTCAAGACCTGAAATTACATGCACGAATATATATATATATACGTATATATATAACTACCATTAACATCCATTATTCCGTTAATTGAGAGATGGTCATACAGAATTATAGTGTTGGGATGGCCACATGGAATGGCTTCTTAGCGCGGTGGGATTTCCAGTCTACGTATAGCGGGCCTCCGGTATCATCCAACGTGGCTGGGAAATCCCCAAAGTCAATGCAAGTCTTAATTGGACAATCATCTACGCTCTGGTAATTTAACATAGCTATTGAAAATCACCATTATTAATGGGAAAATCCACTATTAATGGTAATTTTCTATAGCTATGTTAAATTACCAGAGGGTATAAATAGGATTAAAATATTACTGTCCCATAGAGTACAAACATGATTTGGGCAATATGGGATTAACAATCCTTAATGGACAATCCTACAAACTCAATCCAAATAAGGGATTCTCCATGCATTTTTGATGGATACGCCCAATTACTGTAACCATACTGATGAAATGATCATAAACCTCTGAGACTCTGGATGGGCTACCCTATGGTACAC